GAGTACCATAGGGCGATTCTTGAGGTGGAGATACAAACTGGGCACCATTCCGTGTACCATAGTGAGATTCTTGAGGTGGAGATACAAACTGGGCACCATTCCGAGTACCATAGGGCGATTCTTGAGGTGGAGATACAAACTGGGAACCATTCCGAGTACCATAGGGCGAATCCTGTGGTTGCCACATTACATTGGAATTTTTGCGAACGCCATAAGGTGACTCATTGGGTACGGGCGGGGGCGCCGGTCTACCCCCATCTCCATAAGGTGACTCTGCGGGGCACAGTGCCTTGGCCCCATAGGGAGACTCCTTGGGCAGGGGTGGGGGCGCTGGCCTGCCCCCCTCTCCGTAGGGTGACTCTGGATGGCTTGGTGCCTTGCCCACGGCGCCGCCGCGCACTCCGTACAGCGACTCTGGGTGCGGCCGCCTGCCGGCCTGGTGGCGGCCGTACACGTTCTCCTCTGGGCCGTCCACCTGCTGCCCCTCCCCGTTGGACCTCGCGATGGGGGGCGTCCCGTTTGGAGTCCTGGCGGCCGCATCCACCTTGGCGTCGTACAGCGCGTCCCTGCCACAACGCGGGGTGTTGCCCCGGGCGTCGACCTTGGCGCCGCGCGGAGCCTGGCCCCGGGGGTGCCCGTACGCCGGCTCGAAGGGCACGCTGGGCGCGCACCCGCAGGCCGAGTCCGCGCCGGGGCCGTCCTCGGGGTGCTCGCCCCGCCGGCCGCCGAAGGACGTCTCCTGGACGACCGGATGGTGGCCGTCAGCACGTCCGCCTGCAACACAAGTCACGCGCGCGTAAGTTTGGTTGCCTACCCACCTTGGCGTCCGGCAGTGCACCATCCGCCCCCCGAGTGAGTCGGACAAAGATTGCGGTTCGGGAATCCAGGATCCACGGGCGGAATGTGGAATGCCGGCGCTTCTGCAGCCCTGCATGCGGGAGCGCGGCCGCACAGGCCTGATAGGGCCCGAGCGGTGCATTCGCCGCATTCAGTGCAGGTGTTGTTGTTGACGTGGCGCGCGCCCGGACAACAAATGTGGCCAGCTGGGGAAAAAAAACTTATCTCGCCAAACGCACTCACGGGAGAGAGCCAGAGACACAATTATTACTTTGACATGCAACTACGTTTTCGCTCATACGCGTCACGTAAATAACACTGCTCTTTAGGAGTGGATTTATTACTAAATCGAGCATAACTAAACATGAAAAAAGTTGCTCATAATAAATATCACATTTATGCACAAAAATGTACATATTTAGGCCCGATTACGAACTAGTAGATCAGTGCATAAGACGTATACGAGGGCAATGGGGGGGGGGGGGG